CCCTGTATGCGGGGTCGATGGGATGAGTAACTTTTAAAGACACGGTGCCAGTGGGGTTTTTGAAGTCACCACGCTGTTCCCATAAGGCTTGACCACTTGGCTGGGTGTGGATTTGGCTGCTCGGCACGGGTCAGGCGCCTGCAGGTCCTGTGTGGAGGCCGGTCCCCGCTCCGTGAAAATTGTGCCACAGACGTGCTGTAAACAATCCTGCTTCAGTGGTTCCTCCCTGACCTCGAGTGAGCCCGTTGCCCCGTCGTGACCCAGTGCTTGGTACACACCAAAGGCTTGTTGACCGTGTGAGCCGAGGATCTCTTCCTGACTGTGGAGAGCCCGGGTGCAAGCCTCCTCCCTGGGCTTAGGGACTCAGGAGCATCGGTCTCTAGGGCCAGTCCTGATCTCGTGGAGGGGCATTTGACCTTGAAGAGCAACACTCAGGACCGCTAGGCTGCCCGTGAGCTGGTTCTGCTGACTGGTTCCACGTGGCTCCCGGCCTGGCATCCTCGCCATCCAGACCTTGGTATTTGCCTTCTCCCTGCCAGTTCTGTCCTACCCCCTGGGCACCGAGTCTGCCCTAGAGCCACACTCCAGTGACTGGGGCTCCCAAACCAGCTGACGCCACCTGATGCTAACGCCCTGGATTTCTGAGGGTCACAGGTAGGGCTGCACCTGCCTCGCGGGGCCCCCCGTGGCATTGTGTTAGTGCCTGGCTACTAGCTGCGAGCTTGTACCCCGCCTGAGTCGTCGCTCCGCCCTTCCTGACACTGTCTTCTCTTAGACCAGATGCTGCCCTGCTGCCTGCTGCTGGTGACCCGCCAAGCACCTGTCACACTCCAGCGGACGGTCCAGTGCAGATCCTGGGCCCCCCTGTCTACCCATCCTGCTGCTGCGCCAAGCCCAGGCCACAGGGTCAGGCCTCCAAGTGAGAGAATTGTGGGTGTACCCAAAACAGGTGCAGCCCTGAGCACAAACAGAGCATGACTCACGCGTGAGGAAGCAAAGGTTAAGTTTTCTATTTTGGTGGATCATTTATGGGTTTTCCATAAAGACAGAACAAATAGAATAGTGTCCAAAGGAGTGTGAACCTTCTAAGAGGATACTTCCAACAGTTTTATTATTGTTTACTTGCCATTGCAAGTTTCTCTGGGGGTTGAAGGGACGTGGTCTCCCCTCCCTCCACCCCCTACACATTCCCTGCACTTTGCTTATAGGTTTCTGCACCTGGTGGATCTGGTTTTGTTGTTGTTGTTATTTTGTTGTTGTTTGTTTTGTTTATTTTTTTTTCTGGAGTGGATTTTGAACAGTATTACTCAAAGCGTCGCAGGCGTCTATGTGTCTGACATAGAAACCTACTTTCAGCCTGGACTCCCATCTACACCTCCGTTTTCCTCCCAGCGAGGGCCGCCTCTCAGGGGGCAGCAGGGCTGAACCTGGTGGTCGCCACCGGAGGACCCTCGCAGACACACTCGGGGAGGGGAGGGGTTGGGGGGCAGAAGCAGTAACTAGCTGGGGGCATCTTGGATGGCGGGTGTGGGGGGCGGGACCATCCCATTGAGGACCTCAGTTGAATTTTGAGTTGGCGTCGAACAAAGTGATGAAAATGAGCGCTTGGGCCCCTGGGTGGCTCAGTCGGCAGGAAGCCTGCTTCTCCCTCTCCCGCTCCCCCTGCTTGTGTTCCCTCTCTCGCTGTGTCTCTCTGTCAAATAAATGAATAAAATCTTTAAACAAAAAAAAAGAAAAGAAAATGAACACTCCCCCTGCTGTGGACGAGATTCTCTCTCCCTCTGACTCTCCCCCCATAAGTAAATCAATCTCTAAAATAATGAATAAAATGATACAAAAGTTTTTTGTTTGTTTATTTAGTAATCTCTACCCAGATGTGGGGCTCAAACTCACCACCCCGGGATGGAGAGTCACACGCTCCACAGATGGAGCCAGCCAGGCGCCCCGATGCACCTGATTTTAGCTCTGGCCCCTCCACAGAGTGGTTTTGAGTCCTTGTGAAATTTTCCCTCCGTCCCTCAGTTTCTTCATTTGTAAAACCATGGGTGTCATCACAGCATGTGTCTCAGAGGATTGTTACTAGAATTGTGTTGTAACATCATTAAACCTGGGCGCCTGGGTGGCTCAGTTGGTTAAGCGACTGCCTTCGCTTCGACTCAGGTCACGATCCTGGAGTCCCGGGATCGAGTCCTGCGTCGGGCTCCCTGCTCGGTGGGGAGTCTGCTTCTCCCTCTGACCCTCTTCCCTCTCGTGCTCTCTCTCATTCTCTCTCTCTCAAATAAGTAAATAAAATCTTAAAAAAAAAAACACATCATTAAAGCTTAGCTCCATGCTTCACTCGGAAGCACCACCTTCTCATCAACTGTTGTGAACGCGGAGCAGCCACCCTCCCCTGGCCCGCGGGGCCGGTGCTTGGAGATGACCTGGGAGGACCCGGAGGCACATCTACGCCTGCATTCTCAGAAGAGCATAAGCCAGGTCCACACGGACGAAGAACTGAATCCCGACGGCGAGTATGACCGCTCTCAGAGGAGCTTCATCAAAACGCAGAAGGAGGGGACCTGAATCTTGAATGTTCTTCTGTTTTTGCACTTTTTCCTCTCTTCCTTTTTTTAGAAATAACTTCAAACCTACAGAGGAGTCACGGGAATAGCGCACACGAGGGGCGTCTGGCTGGCTCTGTCCGGGGAGCGTGCGACCCTGGATCTCGGGGTGGCGGGTTCAAGCCCCACGTTGTTTTTTTTTTTTTAAGATTTTATTTATTTATTTGACAGAGAGATAGAGAGAGAGCACAAGTAGGCAGAGCGGCAGGCAGAGGGAGAGGGAGAAGCAGGCCTCCCGCCGAGCAGGGAGCCCCACGCGGGGCTCGATCCCAGGACCTGGGGGTCATGACCCGAGCCAAAGGCAGCCGCTTAACTGCCTGAGCCACCCAGGCACTCCCATTGGGTGTTTTTTTACTTAAAAAAATAAAAACTTAAAAAAAAGTAATAGTGCACGGAAGCTGCACATTTCTTGACCCCACTTTTCATGATTTTGCACATTTGCTTTACCTCTCACTCCCTCTCCCTCTCTATATTCATATTATTTTTCCCCTAAACTATTTGTGCCCCCTTACTTCAAAATACAGTAAGCAATGATCTATCCCCTAGAACAAGGATGTTCTCTTGTATAAAAGGTCATTTCTAAAGCCCAGGAAATTTAACCTTGACACAATATCTACTATATAGTCCCTTATATAAATTCTGCTGCCTCTTGCCTCGACTGTGTCCTTGCAAGAACCCTTCAGTGTCCTTGAATCTGGAACGACAGCTCCACCTTCGCTGATCTCCCATGACCTTGTTATTTTTTAAGAGTAGAGGTCAGTAGGTTTGTAGAATGTCACTCAGTTCGGGCTTGGTTTTTGTTTCCTCTTGATTAGATCGATGTTGTGCATGTTTGGCAAGAAGAGTGCAGAAGCGATCGTGCGTCCTTCCTGGTGCTTTTCCCTCTGCAAACTCATGCTATCTGTCCCACTATTGGTGATGGTAACCATGGTCCGGCGTTTCGATCATCGATGAGCACAATAAGAATGGAGGGACCAACGAACAACCCACTGTGCATTGGAATCCAGTTAAGATTTTTGTTTAGATGAACACCATACATGTTCCTAAGTGTTTTGTGTCTCTGTTCTCAAGGTTTTGTGTGTGTTGCACATTTTCTAGTTTTCAGTGAGTTTGGAACAATCAGGCAGTAGTCGTGCTGTCACAGATGGATTCTGGGAAAGAGAATTTGGAACATTTCCTGGCTGGGCGCACACAGACCCAGACTGGGAGTAGATGGGCTGATGGACGGATGGGGGCCCCCTTGGAGTGCACGGGTGTTAAGGCCGATGGGGTGGCAGAGGGGCACTCTGGTCTTGGGACTCATCAAAGCCAGAGATGGACCTAACGGCTTCCCGTCTGGTGTGACTGGTCCCTGCCATTCTGGTCCAGACTTCTGGCCTTTACGCAAGTCTGCTGGTCCAAGCCCACGAGAAGGACGGTTGTCAGGCCCCTGCTGTGACCCACTTACTGCCACGGCAAATAGAAGAGCAGTACTCAGCTGAGTAACCAGGAAGCAGCAGCCCGCAGAAAGGTGGTCCGAGGGAAGCTAGGGGAGGCGGCTGTCAGCACCCCCAGGTCCTCTCCAGAGATACATTCCTCACCTTTGCAGTGACGTCCGGGTCACTTTCCGCCAGGGCCTGTCACCTGGGGCTCTTCCTTCAGGGAGCCAGGTCCCGCTGTGGAGGCACTAAAAACAACACAAGCAAAAATAGACCTGAAATCGAACGATTTGAATCGCCCAAAGTCCCCCCACAGGACAATCAAGAGTTGACTGAATGATGGAATGAACAAGACATTAAAAAAAGACGTGAGACGTAATGTGTGTTTATCTTTGTGAATCAAGCACTCCTTTATTTTTATTTTATTTTTTTTTCAAGATTTTATTTATTTGACAGAGAGACAGTGAGAGACGGAACACAAGCAAGGGGGAGTGGGAGAGAGAGAAGCAGGCTTCCTGCAGAGCAGGGAGCCTGATGTGGGGCTCGATCCCAGGACCCTGGGATCATGACCTGAGCCGAAGGCAGATGCTTGATGACTGAGCCACTCAGGCGCCCCTCCTTTATTTTTTAGTAATAAAGTACATCGCTGTGTTCCCAGAGAGGCATTAGGGGCTGTGTGGGGAGGCGCAGCGACGGTCTTCCAGTCTCGAGGCGCTGGATCCTGAGCCCCCATGGGCGATCGTGACGCACCCGCACGTGGCATTTCCAGAGGCAAGATGGTAATATTCTGTTGCTTGGGGCTGAGAGAAGGCGTGACCGAGAACCTTGGCAAAGACGGAGAGGAAGTAACAGGGTTTGCAGGGAACAGTGAGATGAACCAGGAGCCAGTGAAGATGCTCTGTGCGTGGGCAAAGCTGACAGATGAGAAGTGGGCGTCACTGCAAGTCTTGGCCCGGCCTCGTGCACCCGACTTCCGGAAGCGAGCCTGTATTTCCAAGCGTCGCCCTACCTCGCCCGCGAGCGCCTGGGCCGGGCTGCTGGTCACCCCGCGCGAACGAAGGTGGGGTGGGAAGGTCAGAAATCCCATGCCCCGCCTTCCTTCCCCGGCCAGTGCTGACCCGCTACTGTGCCCCTGGCGCCTCTTTGCTCTGTTGCAGTGCCTGCCAGACGGAGAGGCTCATTTCTGAGCACCGGAGCCACTGTTCACCCACAGATCAACCACGCTTCATGACAGACCGCTTCCGCTCCTCCAAATTCACTTTCTACTTGTGATACCGTCTCCACGTGGACTTCCTATAATTGCAGCAAGTGTGTATCTACCGCCCGGTGTTCTTGTGACGAGTGCGTACCTACCGCCTGGTGTTCCTGCCCGGAGTGTGTATCTACCACCTGGTGTTTTTGCAGCAACTGTGTATCTACCACCCGGTATTCTTTTTTTTTTTTTTTTTTTTTTTGTGATTTTATTATATCTTTGTTTATGAGGTACATTATCAATAACTGACAAGGATGAAAAGCAATTAGAACACTAACACATTTCTAGTAAGAATACAAAATAATACAGTCACTTTGAAAAACAGTAGACTTCTTTATACATTTGCTTTGTATAACCCAGAAATCCACCCCTAGAAATGTCACCAAGAGAAAGGCAAGCTTCTGTTAAAACAAAATCCATTCATGAAATTCTAGAATAGCTTTATTCCTAATCCCTCAACTGGGAACAACCCGATGTCTTCCAGTTGGAGAATGGATAAACAAACGATGATACATCCATGCAGTGGGATACATAGAAAGAATTAACAACTGATTGACACAACAGAGATCAATCTCAAATGTATTATGTTGTATGAAAGAAGTCAGACATGAAAGACTGCATATACTATATGATTCACTTAAATGTCATCCTGGAAATGGTAAACTAAGAAGCACAAAAGACAAACCAGTCTTAGGGTTCAGTAATAGGGGAAGGGGTTGGCTATAAATGGGAAAAGGGAACTCTCTGTGGGTGATGAAAATGTTCTGTCTTGAATGAGTTGGTTTTCAATAATGATGTGCATTTGTCAAAACTCATAGAACTGTACACTAAAAATTACGAGTTTTTGAGGTAAGTTATACCTCAAAAAACTTGACTCAGAAACAAACTACTGTTCTTTCAAATGATATAAAATACTATTCTTGACTCATAATCTAAAAATGTTACTCAAAATTAAACTACTGATTTCTAATGAAAATTTAGTAGTCTTTCCTATTAAAATATTTTTCTCCATACAGCTTTTTTTACTGAGCGGTAAGTTTACTTAAAGCTACTGTTCTAACCACTCCCATGATCATATTTTGAAAAAACACTTTCAAATATCTATAAACAGAATTCTGTCCTAAATTTGAGCTATTAAAACCTATTCTTTGCTTAGTTTTTCATAAGTGGTAGGAAGTACCTCATCTCTGAGACAGAAACAAGCTTTTCTCTTCTCTGTCACATACTCTTTTTAAAAAATTTTTTATTGTTATGTTAATCACCATACATTACATCATTTGTTTTTGATGTAGTGTTCCATGATTCATTGTTTGTGCATAACACCCAGTGCTCCATGCAGAACGTGCCCCCTTTAATACCCATCACCAGGCTAACCCATCCCCCCACCCTCCTCCCCTCTAGAACCCTCATTTTTTTTTCAGAGTCCATCATCTCTCATGGTTCGTCTCCCCCTCCGATTTCCCCCCCTTCATTCTTCCCCTCCTGCTATCTTCTTCTTTTTTTTCTTAACGTATATTGCATTATTTGTTTCAGAAGTACAGATCTGTGATTCAACGGTCTTGCACAATTCACAGCACTCACCATAGCACATGCCCTCCCCAGTGTCTATCACCCAGCCACCCCATGCCTCCCACCCCCCACCACTCCAGCAACCCTCAGTTTCCTAAGATTAAGAATTCCTCATATCAGTGAGGTCATATGATACATGTCTTTCTCTGATTGACTTATTTCACTCAGCATAACACCCTCCAGTTCCATCCATGTCAATGCAAATTACCATCCGGTATTCCTGCGGCAAGTGTGTATCTACCCTCCGGTGTTCCTACGGCGAGTGTGTATCTACTGCCCGGTGTTCCTGCGACAAGTGTGTATCTACCGCC